AGTGTAACGCTAAATACTGTTAGCTTAGCTGGCTTACACTGAAAAAAATCTAAATCTAGATAAGAAATTTTTTCTTAAAATAAGTGCATTTGTTCTTGGATTGAGGAGATAAAAGACACATTTTGCCAATGGAACAAGACAATTTAGATTTAAAATACGAAAACGCAATTCCATTGTGTTATTTCAAGTGCATTTTATCTAAATTTTCTATTTTAAGAGTAAAAATACTCATTCCATTGGCAAATCATCACATTTACCTGCTCAAATTAAGGGTAAATACACTTAATTTATGAAGTTTTTACTTATTTCTAGATGATTTTTGCAGTGTAGCATCCATATTTGATCCAAAAGCACAAAAATCGCCCAAATTTTCACCCCTAAATCAACAAAATGCTGTTATGGAGTTTTCTAAGGCCAACATTGGAAAAAAGCTAAATCTGAATAAGTAATTTTTTCCTAAAATAAGTTCATTTGTTCTTGGATTGAGGAGATAAAAGAGACATTTTGCCAACGGAAAAAGATGATTTACATTTAAAATAAAAAAACTCAACTGCATTGTCTTACTTTAAGAGCATATTATTTAATTATCTTATTTTAAAAGTGAAAATACTCAAACTATCTCATTTACCTGCTCATATTAAGTGTAAATACACTTAATTTAAGAAATTTTTACTTCTTTCTAGATCGTTTTTCCAGTGTTGGTAGAAAGGAGGCTGGTTTAGCTTAATGGGTTATTACACTGCAAAAAATAGAAATCTAAATAAGTAATTTTTGCTCAAATTAAGTGCATTTTTTCTTAAATTGAGGAGGTAAGTTAGACACTTTGCCAAAGGAACAAGACAATTTACATTTAAAATAAGAAAAAAACAATTGCTTTGTCTTATTTCAAGTGAATTTTATCTAATTATCTTAAAAATACTCATTCTATTGGCAGATCATCTTATTTACCTGCTTAAAATAAGGGTAAATACACTTCATTTAAGACATTTTTACTAATTTCTAGATGTTTTTTGCAGTGTAGCCTGCACGCTGCAAAAAATCTAGTCATTTTTTCTTAAAATAAGTGCATTTTTTTGTTGAATTTAGGAGGTAAGCGAAACATTT